GGATTGTTCAACTCTATATATCCTTGGTCAGGCCTCATTTAGATTATGCTGCACAGTTCTGGTCACCGTATTACAGAATGGATATAAATGCTCTGGAAAACGTACAAAGGAGGATGACAAAGTTGATCCCATGTATCAGAAATCTTCCCTATAAGGATAGATCGAGGCCCTGGATCTGCACTCTCTAGAAAGGCGTAGAATTAGGGGGGATATGATTGAGGTGAATAAATGGAAAACAAGAATATATTAAGTGGATTTAAATAGCGTGCTAAAAATATTTAGCCAAGACAGGACTCGCAGCAATGGATTTAAGCTGGAAAAATTCAGATTCAGGAAGGATATAGGAAAGCACTAGTTTGGTAATAGAGTTGTGAATGAGTGGAACAAACTCCCGAGTACCGTCATAGGAGCTAAAATGCTCTGTAGTTTTAAAAAATTGGTTAGAGAAATACATGAGTGGGTGTGAGTTGGACCTGACTAGCTTGTGCTACTAGGTCTGATGCCATGCTCCTTCGTTAAGTGAATGTGACCTGACCTGATATGATTTAAGCAGGTAGGAGACTTGGACCTGCCTCGCATGGACCAGTAGGCCTGTTGCAGTGCTCCTTCTTTATGTTCTCATGTTCTTAACTGTCGTACGTCCCCAGTGTTGGTTGTACAGCTTTTACGCACGTCCGTAGTAAGCTAAACTTAACTCGTATTGTAACTGTCTATCTCTGTGTAATGCATAAATTCTTCTACACTTGGCCACCAGCTTGTATAATTTACAACTCGTAGCATATAAACCAGTTTTTGTCGCCTTTTGTGAAGCCCGACACCCCTGTGTAGGTGAGAGTAGTGTAGGATGCAGCTGAGTACCTTCCCGGACTCTCTCAGTACCTACAACAATAACGACCTTCACTTGGTTCACATCGTGGAGGTCATTTGCGTAACTATTGCGTTGATATGGTGCATGTATAATTTATAGTCTAGAAGACGGATGCAACAATTGTACATTTGGGAGTAATGACGTTGTATTCGTCATACTAGCTGTGTTGCCGAGTACACTACACTTGAAGCTGGTGATGCTAGTTTATATGTGAGGAAACAGATTAAGTGTTTCCTGACACGGGTCTTTAGTCATATGATCACTCTCTAAGAAGTGCTTTCAGTAGTATGACCGTGACCTTCTGTTTTACCTGTCCGTTCCTTTAAAAAAAAAAAGGTATAGAACACAGTAAATGATATATATTACATGAGGGAGAAAGTGGTCGAGTTTATGGTTTTGTTTTTGTGACCACCATTACGGCAACAGTGTTGGGCTGCTACTCACGTTGCCACAAATACCTCTGTTCGTAGGACACTAACTTCCAAGACCCAAAACTTTACTCTGAAATTACTTATGTTTTTCCTACACTCTTTTATTAACTAGACAGTTAAAAGAATGCCCTGAAGGTTTAAATCACCATTGTCTTTGCAAAGCAAATTCTTTGGTATAAGTGTTCACAGAGCAGTGTGTGGTGTACTCTGGTTACCCTACCTTGTCCTCTCTCACACACACTACCCAGCATTGTTTAGCTGTGACGTCACTCTACTTGTGACTCTCTCAGAAAAATGTATTTTCTCTTTTACTGTGAGAGAATACATAGAAAATATTTATTATGTTTTTCAATGTTTATAAAGTATTGAGGATGTTTTTCATTGTGTATATTGTACTCGGGGTTTTGCAAGAACACTCAGGTACCTATTTTACTGATAGGTGAACAAGGATAGCAGGTGTCATAAGGAAACACGTCCTAATGTTCCCACCCGTGCCATGGATTCGAAATTGCACAATCTACATCAAAACACGCAGTTCTTTAACCACTCAGCCAGATCCCAGATTTTGATACAGTTTGTGCAGGTTCGAATCCTACTGTATATTGAGAGATAATATTTGTTAAATAATTATGCCCGTTTGCGAATTGTTAAGCATAGCAATATATAGTTAAATCGATGATGTAGGTCATATACTAGGTACGAAAACCTGTGAGGTGCTCATGACTATGAGGCAATCGCCTCTTTCTGAAATTAACAAATCTTCCCACTCGAGTCTCCACTTGGTGCCCTAAAATAACGAGGGACCAGCAGGGTAACTCCTCCACATGTACACCCCTCAGGGAAGGTTCCTTGATGTTGGTGAGGGGCTCTTGATTTAGGGAATTGGATCTGTGCTCCAATTCCCCGAATTAAGCCTGAATGCCTTCCACATCCCCCCCAGGCGCTGTATAATCCTACTGGTTTAGCGCTTCCCCTTGATTATAATAATAATCCACATGTACAGATTGGAACAAACTTTTGGTGTTGTGGAGGCTGTTGCTAGCTAGCTACGAGCTCCCAGGTGGCTACCCCCTGGCTAATGTTGGTAGAATTACCGACAATTTGTAAAGTAAAAGGACACAAATGCAACTAATGTGACATTTTATTGTGGCAACGTTTCGCCCTCCAGGAGCTTTGTCAAGCCGTTACAAACAGTACATGGACACAGAGGGTGTATATAGGCTCAATGAGGTGCACCTCACTCTGAGCCTATATACACCCTCTGTGTCCATGTACTGTTTGTAACGGCTTGACAAAGCTCCTGGAGAGCGAAACGTTGCCACAATAAAATGTCACATTAGTTGCACTTGTGTCCTTTTACTTTACATACCCCTGGCTAGCTTGAGGAGAATGTTACCTGCAACTCTGGCCTAGAGCAAGGTTAATAATGTTGGGTAAAGGGACACAGATGAAACTAATGAGACATTCTGTTGTGGCAACGTTTCGCTCTCCAGGAGTTTTATCAAGCTCCTTGGATTATGCTAGCCTAGCAGTGGTTAAACTGACATGAAGATCAAAACCAAAATATAGCAACTGGATCAATATATTACTTATCTAATAAGATGCCGAGTTGGTAGCTACTACAGTTTACCATATGGAGGAGATTATCCCCGCTCCTAACCAACCCGAGCCTTTATACCAGTGTTTGCCTCACTAGTGTCGTGTGGCCTCTGTAGTTCATGTGTCGCAAACCGTGTGTTCCCACCACTTCAGCTATCAAAACTTTGGGGGCCCAGTCCCTGGACCCATTACGTACCTCTGTAATCTGTAAATACCTTTGTAACTTGTCATGATTGTGACCAGACTTACCTGGAGTTCATTACCTTTGTAAATTGTGAGTTCATTACCTTTGTAAATTGTGAGTTCATTACCTTTATAAATTGTGAGTTCATTACCTCTGTAACTTGCTCAGCTATCAAAACTTTGGAGTCCAGTCCCTGGACCAATTATGTACCTCTGTAATCTTTTGACTACCGCCCACAGGATGGGTATGGGGTGCATAATAAACATATTAAACTAAAACCACCACAGATGCTATAAGTTTATTTAGGTACAGCTCCACATAAATACAGTTACACAAATTATCATACATAGTAACATTTATGTAAATTACCTAGTGTAAGCCCCCCCCCCCCCCAAAAAAAAAAGTCAGACAAAATTACTTATTTCCATTGGGGTCCTATGGACCTGGAGACCAGCTACTTCAATATATATATTGCTTTCTGGAGTACTCTACCAAGTGCTCTTGATGTAATACCAGAAATATATTTTGTGAACTTGCATCCTGGGGCCACCATCTCCCAGCTGGGTTCCAGTAATGTTAATTACACATTTGTGTATTACTTGGTTATCTTTAATTTGAAAACGTTTCGTTAGCCATTGTCTTCTTCAGTCCAATGCAGAGGAACGATTGAAGATGAGGAGTGTGAGGTAATCATTCCCTCAGCCTGGAGTCGATCTATTCAGTACATCAACCTTGATAAAAGTATAGCATATTCGCGGATATGAGGTTTATTTGCTGCAGACAAATGTGTGGGGCAGTGGTAGGCGGAGTCGCCAGTGAAAAAAACCACTGGTAGAAGTAGGTCGTGTCTATAGGTTGTCATGCTATGAAGAATTCCCTGCATCAAGTTCCCAATTAAACATCATATTAACTGTAACAAATTCGTTGTTGTCTCCCGGTCAGGCATTCTCTGATCTACTGCAGTGCCCTTCCTGTTATGTGTGCCTGATTCTCTAGCTTTTGCACTAATCTCTTGAGGAACTGTGTCGAAGCCTTTACAGTCTAAGAAAATGCAATCTACCCACCCCTCTCTCTCGTGTCTTACTTCCGTTACCTTTTCATAAAGCTCCAGTAGGTTTGTGACACAGGATTTTCCTTCCCTGAATCCGTGCTGGTTGTCGTTTATAATCTTGTTTAATTCTAGATGCTCCACCACTTTTCTCAAGATAATGTTCTCTATGACTTTGCATACTGTACACGTCAGTGACACTGGTCTGTAGTTTAGTGCCTCGTGTCTGTCTCCTTCCTTAAAAATGGGGATTACATTTGCCGTCTTCCATACCTCAGGTAGTTGCCCAGTTTCAATAGATGTTGAAAATTGTTATTAGTGGCACACACAGTGTATCTGCTCCCTCTCTAAGGACCCACGGAAAGATATTGTCCGGTCCCACTGCCTTTGAGGTATCAAATTCATTTAGCAGTTTCCGGGTGGTATATGCTTCATGACCTTTCTGTTCTGCGGTGTAGAAGCACCTTTATGTACCTCATCGAATGCTGCCTTGCTTCGATTCACCAGTGTCTCTATACTCCTTCATGAAAAACTGCGTGAGAAGGAAAGCACAAATTTCGATAGTACTTAGGATCAGATTATTTCCAAGCAATTCTGAAGTCCCGTCTGTCTGAATAGAACTCGAGTAACCATTTCCACCTCAGAATTTTTCACTGCTGAGAACAAAGCCTTGTGGCAAAGTAATACTTAACACCGTGGTCGGCGATATATATTTTAAGCACTCATCTAAGGACAGTGTGTTTGGTAAGGTTTCTAAAGAGGCTTCTACTTCGTTCCATTGCATCAACAGTACAGTCCAGGTACTCTGGCCACCTCTCCCTTCCATAAGATTAACTCGGTGATAACATTACTTTTTTCCAATTCTTTCAGGGTTGTGGCGTAAACGACCCAGTAACGGTGAGTACTGTTGTTAGATTTTGATGTGCGTGCGTGTGTGTACTCACCTAGTTGTGGTTGCAGGGGTCGCGTCACAGCTCCTGGCCCTGCATCTTCACTGGGCGCCACTAGGTCACTCTTCCTGCTCCAAGAGCTTTATCATACCTCTTCTTAAAGTTATGTATGGATCCTTCCTCCTCTACATCATTTCACAGACTGTTCCACTTCTTGACAACTCTGTGACTGAAGAAATACTTCCTAACATCCCTGTGATTCATCTGTTTTTTCAACTTCCCACTGTGTCCCTTTTGCAGTGTCCCATCTTTGGAACATCCTGTCTCTGTTCACCTTGTCGATTTCTCTCAGTATGTGTGTGTTATTTATTCGCCGGTATAGAGCTCCAGCTCTTAGACCTTTCTCATGTTAACTGTCTTGATTTGTCTCTATCGTATAGTTTTTAAATACAAGATTTTTTTTAGCCTCCACTAAACTGTTACTCAGTTTTGCATAGTTATGTTTTTTTACTGTCTTCTGTCAACTCTATCTCCTCTGGGCTTTAGTTTACATCTGTTATTCTGTGTCTTGCCTTTTCTGATTATAAACAGTCTACTTTTCCAACCAAATTTTTTTGTATGTTGTGATCATATCTCCTTGTGTCCAGTGCAAGTTTGGTGGCAAAAAAATTCTTCATGTTGTTCATGATTCTTTCGGCATTATCCTCATTTGTTCCTTCTAATGTGGTAAATAACACATTTTGTTCAAGGTTTCATGTGATTGTTTTTACATTTTCTAGCTTAGTTACCTTGACGAGCCTGGCCCAAGGCTGGGCACCGAGAGTAGTAAAACTCTGGAAACTCGTAAAAGTTGATAAATTAGACACATGTGCAACTCTTGGGTATCTTTATTGAGGAAACGTTTCGCCACGCAGTGGCTTCATCAGTTCATACAAAGGAGAAACGTGAAGAATAGGAGGAGAATGAGGTATTCAGTCCGTCAACCTTGAGTCGATGTGGTAAGTCCATCAATCTTGAATAGCATATGTGCGGAGAAGTAGCTTATATAGCGTATGGCAGGAGAGGTCCAGCAGTCGTAGGTGGTGTCACATTTGTCCAATGTGGAAGTAGGTCGTGCCCAAGGGTTAGGCAAGCGAAGAATTCCCAGGTATTAAGATCCCAAGGAGTTGCAGTGTTCGACACATAATCTGGGGTGGTCAAATAATCTGCAAAGAGAACAGAGAAGCTTATGACGACGTTTCGGTCCGACTTGGACCGTTACAAGTCGCACTAACAGAGACACACAAGACAGGCAGAGAAACAGGTTCGGGTCCACTTTGGTACACACTTATCACGTAGACACACACACAGTAATACAAGAGTGGGTAAATGACTTTTAAACCAGTGGTGAACATGTTCTGTTGTATTTTATTAAGCAGTAAAGCAAGTCAGCACAATTTTTCTTAGTAAACCAATAAGGAAAATGAGATGTCCGGGTGTGGAAGTGACTTTGTGACTGTGGTGGGTAATCTGTAATGAATAAGGTGTGGCCAAGATAAAGGCGTATGGAGTAAAGTGGTGTCAAATACAAGTATATATCTATTAATGATTCCAGGGATCATCGCCCACGTGGCACGGTCACAGATCAGACCCAAATTAAATAAGATATTAGAGGAATTAGAACTATTAAGAAGCACAGGGACTAAAGTGCATACACTGTAAGTTGAAGTTTGAAAGGTGTGTTGGGGTGTGGCTCCCTGGCACACACCTGACAGGTTGAGGGTTCCTGGGGGGCATGACTTGCTAGGTGGGTAGGTAGACACTCCACCCCCCTCCCATCAGAATGGAAGCGAGGGGTAGAGGAAGAGGGAAAGTGATAAGAGTCTAGCGGTGGCCAGTAAATATGACATGCCGTCGTTATTTGTTGAAGGTAACATATTGAAGACTGTTATTACAAGCTGCTCGCGATCAGTGTTGTGATGAAGAACACGGTCTTGGAAAACGTCGCTCTGAATCTCTCTACAACGTGAAAGTTGCTCAGCGACTTGAACATTAGCTAAGTGGTGGAGCCAGACTCCACACTGCCGGGGACTAATCTTAGAACACTAGTTGGTGCTCTATTTATTGAAGTGAATTGGAAAACCATCCTTAGATATACCATCGGTATGCCAGCGGATGCTTAACCATGGGTATATAGCATCGGTATGCCAGCGGATGCTTAACAGCAATGGAGGTTGCTTAATTGTTGATATCCAGCGCCGGCAAGATAGCGGTTTCTTAAACACTGATGCCTAGCACCTGCACGCTAGTGCTAACTTTATCAATAGACGGTCATTATCTGACAACTTCCCACATTAAGAAACTTTCTCCCCCACGAAGAAAACATTACCACCACCTCTGGCGAGGTTTGACACATTAGCCTTCTCTAGATCAGCGTTACTCTCCGTAGAGATTACTTTCAAAACCACTCCTGCACAAGGTCTTAATATAGCCCGTTCTCAAGCTGCTCAGCTGAAAGGGAACTGCGCATGCTAAGCCGTTATTTGGGAAATCTCATCCCCGAGGTCCATGCTTACACAGAAGACTTCACTCGTAGCCTGATGCTGATGAAGGGCTCTTGTTCCTCGAAAGTGGATTTATCTGTTCTTCCTCGGATAAAACTGGATTATCTTCTGTTCCTGCAGGGTTACCTGGTTACCTGGAGGTTACCTGGAGGTTATTCCGGGGATCAACGCCCCCGCGGCCCGGTCCATGACCAGGCCTCCCGATGGATCAGGGCCTGATCAACTAGGCTGTTACTGCTGGCCGCACGCAGTCCAACGTACGAGCCACAGCCCGGCTGATCCGGCACTGACTTTAGGTATCTGTCCAGCTCTCTCTTGAAGGCAGCCAGGGGCTTATTGGCAATTCCCCTAATGCTTGATGGGAGGCTGTTGAACAGTTTTGGGCCCCGGACACTTATGGTGTTTTCCCTTAGTGTACCAATGGCGCCCCTACTTTTTATTGGGGGCATTTTGCATCGCCTGCCCAGTCTTTTACTTTCGTAGGGAGTGATTTCTGTGTGCAGATTTGGGACCATTCCTTCCAAGATTTTTCAAGTGTAGATTATGATATATCTCTCCCTCCTGCGTTCCAACGAGTACAAGTCAAGTGCTTCCAAGCGTTCCCAGTAGTTAAGGTGCTTGACAGAACTTATACGTGCAGTAAAGGATCTCTGTACACTCTCTAGATCTGCGATTTCACCTGCTTTGAATGGAGATGTTAATGTACAGCAGTATTCCAGCCTAGAGAGAGCAAGTGATTTGAAAAGGATCATCATGGGCTTGGCATCTCTCGTTTTGAAAGTTCTCATTATCCATCCTATCATTTTCTTTGCACTTGTGATCGTGGCACTGTTGTGATCCTTGAAAGTGAGATCCTCAGACATTACTACTCCCAGGTCCCGTACATTATTTTTCCGCTCTATTGTATGGCCGGAGTCAGTAGTATACTCTGTTCTAGTTATTATCTCCTCCAGTTTTCCATAACGGAGTAGTTGGAATTTGTCCTCATTGAACATCATATTGTTTACCGTTGCCCACTGGAAAACTTTGTTTATATCTTCTTGGAGGTTAACCGCGTCCTCAGCAGATGACAGCCTCATGCAGATCCTAGTATCATCCGCAAAGGATGATACGGTGCTGTGGTGTATATCTCTGTTTATGTCTGATATGAGGATAAGGAATAAGATGGGGGCGAGTACCGTGCCTTGTGGAACAGAGCTCTTCACTATGGCAGCCTTCGATTTAACTCTGTTGACCACTACTCTTTGTGTTAGGTTACCTGGAGGTTACCTGGAAGTTATTCCGGGGATCAACGCCCCCGCGGCCCAGTCCATGACCAGGCCTCCCGATGGATCAGGGCCTGATCAACTAAGCTGTTACTGCTGGCCGCACGCAGTCCAACGTACGAGCCACAGCCCGGCTGATCCGGCACTGACTAGGTATCTGTCCAGCTCTCTCTTGAAGGCAGCCAGGGGTTTATTAGGTAAGGTTTGTCAGAAAACAGGACAAGTGTTTCCTGACGCGGGTCTTAGATGAGGACCCGCCGTTGAAACTTTTGGTCATTTGACCGAGGCCTTCCGCTGGCTTACCGGTCCACTCCTTTAAAAATTATGGCCATAATTATAACCAGTTATATTATTCCTCCAGGGGCTTTGTAACTCATGCATGTTTAGCGCTCTCCTATAAATGTACTGCAATAAACACACACCTTGCTTATGCATTACACTCTCCTCTCAGGAGATGTAAGAGGCGCCGACTTTACTGCTGAGTACATATTACCTAGCACATACTAACTACCAGGCTGGTAAGCTCTTAACTACTACTACACCTGGTCACAGACCGGGCCGCGGGGGCGTTGACCCCCGAAACTCTCTCCAGGTAAACTCCAGGTAAACACCACCATCCCTTTCCCTAGCCAACTACTGCCCATGGAAGCAATGAAGAACCACGTACAAGAGATTTGGAGTAATTAAGAACCACGTACATCTTAGTAGTAATAAAGAGCTACGTACAGAAGCTTGATAGTAATAAAGAACCAAGTACAGCAGCTGGGTAGTAAGGCAGCCAATAAACTTGTAGCTTAGCTTTTATTGCTCTCGTAAACAAATTAGTCGTATATTGTCAGCTGGGGTGGTGTGAGTGGGTGTGGGAGCTGTGGTGGTGTGAGTGGGTGTGGGAACTGTGGTGGTGTGAGTGGGTGTGGGAGCTGGGGTGGCGTGAGTGGGTGTGGGAGCTGTGGTGGTGTGAGTGGGTGTGGGAGCTGTGGTGGTGTGAGTGGGTGTGGGAGCTGTGGTGGTGTGAGTGGGTGTGGGAGCTGGGGTGGGCGTGAGTGGGTGTGGGAGCTGGGGTGGTGTGAGTGGGTGTGGGAGCTGTGGTAGTGTGAGTGGGTGTGGGAGCTGTGGTGGTGTGAGTGGGTGTGGGAGCTGTGGTGGTGTGAGTGGGTGTGGGAGCTGTGGTGGTGTGAGTGGGTGTGGGAGCTGTGGTG